TACTACTAGTAAGGCACTTGTTACTACTAGCGTGGCACTTGTTCCTAATAGCTTCTTGTTACTACTAGTAAGGCACTTGTTACTACTAGCGTGGCACTTGTTACTACTAATGAAGCCTACTGCAGATCGACCGCACAAACATGGACCCCATGTTTAATCACTGATGGTTGGTCGAAACGGAACATGGTCGAAACGGATGAGTTAGTTCGCCGGGTCCATGTGAGCCTTCGCAGGGTCCATGTTAGCCTGGGGTGTCATGAACATGGGGAGGCTTCTGGCTGGGTTGTCACCTTCTGTGGTAGGCACTGGTCATTTGCGTGGGAAGAGCACCTTGGATTTGCCACACAGATTCCCTTATTCCGCAGAAGGGGATTCACCCATAGGGAAAAATCAAATCACCCTTAGCACAACCAGGCCGCACAACCCATTCAAATTATATACTCGTTGTTCGTATCAAGCACCTCGGACCCTCTGACCAGGCTGGTGTGAACATACCACGAGCCAGCCCAGTTTTACGCTCATGCACCTCCATCTTCCTTCCCAGTTCTCCAAGCGCACCTGCTGCTGTAGGAAGTCATGGCTGGTCAAGGACACACTCACGCCTTTCCAAGCCTCGGTCGTAATTCCAGCACACTTGGATGGGACAGTGGAGTCCGTACCTCCACAGGACTTGAGGCGCAACTCGAGGCTGAGTTTTCATGGGGGAGGTTGGATTCCTGTCTGGGCCAGACTTGTCTTCAGAAGGGATTCAGAATGCATCTAGGTTTTGAGACATCCGAAGACCGAAAAGATTCTTTATACAAGCTGTCTATTTTTAAATACATAATAGACTATAGAACGTAATGATTCCTGCTACAAGGATTCCAGGATTCTCGTTTGGTGTGATTCATCACAGAAGGTCCCTTAGAAATCCAAGAGATTCTTTCGGCCATCCTCGTTGGCGAGAGGCTTCTTTGGTTTCTGCAAGGTTCTGGTTCCTCATCCTTCATCTCCCAAGTGTCTCCAAAGTGTCTTCCCAAATAGAAGGTATACCGATTGGAGGACAATTTGCCTCTCAAAGAACGCTGCCCCTGTCCCAGTCCATGTCTTCTGATTGTGGCGAACGGTGAACCCGTCGAGCCGAGCTGGATGATTCCTGAAGCCCAGTCCCCAAATCGCCGTCGAAGACCTGATCGCGTCTCCAGTCCCTCGAGTCCTCCGAGTCCTCCGAAACCTCAGCTCAACAGTCTTCCAGATTCTCGCCGTTCTTCATCTCACCCCCCTTCTGGTTTTCATCTCCCTCTCTCCCCCCGATCCAACCGCTCCGCCCAACGGCCAGAGCGCAAACCGGCGTAAGCCCGCGTAAGCTATAGGCGTCCGGACGTGGGGCACCATGTTGGAGTGATCTCCGAAGACGCCACTGGGCGTGTTGACGCCTCCGACCTGGGGCGACGCGTGTTGCGGCTCCAGAGAGGCGGAGAGAGAGGTGAAAACCAACCGTGGGAAACGCTCCGAGCTGCTATTATTACCCCATACACCCCATAGGACTGGCCTATTGATCATGATTGATCTACCACTTAGTGTGGTTTCAACTGAAAAACGGTCCATTGGATGGTCCATAGGACCGGCGGCATCTTGTTCCGTCTTCCACACCCGTGCCGCGTCATCCACGCCCGTGCCGCGCAAGGCGCCAGGGACCCCCCACACCACGGTAGATCACGAAGCCCGGGTCCAGCGCCGAGGTTTCCCGAGGCCTGAGCTGGTTGATGCTAGAGTAAATGCAGGGTTTTCTGGATGGAGTGGGACGCTGTTGGATGGACTTGACACTTAAAACTTAAAACCAACTGAAACCGGCCCCCTGGGGAGTTGCTGTACTTCTTCAGTCTGAGTCCAGGCCCTGGACCTTTTCCAAAGGACCAGGACCTCGAGTCCTTTGATTCAACTGACGCCCTGATGCAGTCAGGTGGACATCCCCAAGCTCTGGTGTCCACCCTTGCGATTTCGGTGGCCCAAACTCCTGCTGTGTGTAGATCAACTTCACGGACGGACTCAAATAAAAATAAAAAAGCTCCCTGCACAGCAGCCTTGGTCCCTCCCAAACCGAACGGTCCCTCCGCTGCTCCCCTCCGAACATCCAACGAAACGGCGGCGTAGTAAGGAGCTCCGTGTCGATGGAGATGGCCGTTGGTTAGCAAGAGAATAAGGCGAACAGCAAAAAGGCGAGTGTGCGTACAGTTCAAGAGAAATGGGACAAATATAGTTGGACCACCTATAAAGGAAAGTGGTTTATACACACCCATGGCCCATGGCCATTGGACTATGACTGATGACTAACTGGAACATTTAGGTGCACTCGGTGAAAAACAAGACCTGGGGACTCAGTCTCTTTTCGGACCAATTCATCAAGACCAAGTGCAACTTCTGCCAGAAAGCTCCATGTGCCATCTGCTACTTGACCTCCACCTCTTTCACCTCCTTGACCCAACATTCTCCGGAACCTCCGCCTCGGACCCCGGGCGGCTTGTTGCAGAAAAGACGGTTCAAACCTCAGGCGCCAGTTGCTTTCGTTCATGGCGAACAGCGAAGGGTGCGATGAAAAAGCATCGAAAAGGGTGGACCACGGTTGGCCAGATCGACTATCGGTCAGTCTATATGTTCTTTTTGCTCGAAGTGGAGCCAGTGCACTACCAATGGTTCGAGTGGTTTGCCTGGATCTGAGATGGTTCTAATTGAGAGCGGCAACCCTCAAAGGCCAAGCTCCCAATCATAGAGCCAGAAATGGTCAAGTTCGACAGTGACACACAAATTCCGAAACGCCTCATCGCAATGAAGGTCACTGAGTTTGAGATGGTCAAGTTCGCCAAAGATCTGCAATCCTCAAAGGCACTCTTCCCACTGTGGGTCACTGAGTTTGGGATGGTCACGCTCACCAAAGAGCTGCAAACCCGAAAAGCACCATCTCCAATGTAGCTCACTGAGTCTGGGATGGTCAAGTTCGCCAAAGATCTGCAATTCTCAAAGGGACTCTTCCCAATGTGGGTCACTGAGTCTGGGATGGTCAATTTTGCCATCATCCTGCTGCCTTGGAAGGCCCTCGCGGCAATTTCAGTGTCGTGGCTTGGGATTTCAACGGCCAGCAAATGTTCCGGGTCAATTTCACTGCTAAAGGTAATTAGCGATGGCACCTCGGCTGGCTCGGCTGGAGCACCTCGCGGTGTTGGATCTGAAAACAACAGTGACAATCAAATCTGCCAGCCGTGCATCTGCAACCTTCTCATGATTGCCCAGCAACCTGTCTCCGACAACCAGAGTCGCAATGGTAGTTCTGCGAGTAGCCTCGTCCCAGTAGTTCTGTGCTTCGATCTGCAGCTTTAGCTCTTTACCCGTCATCTCCCGGGACTTCGAGAGCATTTCACCATTGATCTGAGATAGAAAGTCTCATCGCGGCAAGTCTACAATCACAGCAACTATAGCTCTTCAGCTGATCTCTTTTGTCTCTGTCTGCTGTTTGTTTCACTGGATCTTCTGCTTAATGCCGTCGTTTCCATCTGCAAAAGACCTCCCAACGTTTCCACCCTCTGGCTCCCGTGCCCCGTGCATCAGGGTCTTCAGATGTGTCCATCGCCTATGCACCAGGCAACAAGCCTCTCGGGCCTTGAGCCGCTTTCGGCGCTAACAGTTGCAGCGCCACTAACGGAGCAGGCCTCTGCATGCCCAGAGCAGCGGAAGAGGCAACCGCCACCATGGCATGGGTCATGTTCATGGGGTGTCTATTACTTTGTAACGATTCCAGTTCCGTGGATAGTCTGGGATGTGTTCATCTCCATGAATTCCCTTTTTTAAGGCAGGCTACACTCCCTGAAACCATGGCCCCGAAAGGAGGATTGACCATCAAATCCATTGAAATCGTCTTCATCATACCAAACAAATCAGACCAACTCCCGGGGTCCATGGGTCAATTCGTGGAGTGCAGGTGTTTCGGAACTTGCCTGGACAGATGCGGGTTTCACCTCTCCAGTTGTCCCAGTCGGCCAGTACCGAGCAAGTGAGCAACTACGTCGCCCATGTCCATGTCCATGTGTGTGTGGTGGAAGTCACAAAAGACTCTACCTTCACATCCCCCCCGAATGCTCAATGTCCAATTCATTCCGACTTTTCAAGTCATGCATCCATGCAATCTTCTTTTTGCCAGGGCCCTCTTTGAACCTTTTGGGGGTGTCTAAGTCACATGCCGCGCCCGAACAACACGGCCGCGCGGCGGCCTCCCGGTCGCACCGCGAGAGGCTGAGGTCTCCGGGCCCAGAATCTGAAACATCGGCTCCATGTCCTCAGATCGTCGAGGTGTATCCCGTTTTCCTCCGTCGAGACCAGAGACGGCAGAGTGAGGAAAGACAGAGACGGGCCGCGTGCGTGCTTTACGCGGACGGCGAAAAAAAGAGGTCCTTCTGGAATCTACGCATGTATGGTCTGTTCTCGAGAAATCCAAGGAACCTATAATATCAAATGGGTGTGGAATCTAATCGGGAGACCTAGTTGCATCCAAATACATTTTAGTCCAAAAAAGCGTTCCGATCCCGTTCCACTCTCGAGGACTCGCACGGGCATACTGCGTACCATCCAGCCTCTCCAAACATCCTCCCCCCAATCCAGCGTTTTGTTCCTCTTTTGAAGGAACCCCCCCAAGAGTGAAGGACATATCCAAAGCATCCATGTAACTGGAACAGTTACTTACATTATAAGGCTTATATTATAATTGGTCAGGTCTAAATGTCATGATCGACTCTTCCATTCTCAATGGTCATCGAATGTCCTACAGGAGGGTTAGATTCAGATCAATGCTGTCATAGAAGGATTCAACCTCGGCCATTCTATGATCAACTAGGAATCCATTCATCGCAGACTACATTGGAGTGGTGCCAGGGGGGTCAATGGGGCGGCATATATGGCAGTCTCATGGGTCGTGTCTGGGCATAGAATGTCATGACATCATCTCACCAGCCATGTCCGCTCTCAGCCCGCGGCCGCCAGGCGCACCAGAGTGTTGCTCTTCCGCACGGCACCCAGCAGTCGAAGCCTCGGTTACTGTAAGCGTTCTTCGGAGCGGTCGGTGAACCAAAACCCAAGCAATCACACATTAAACCTAAATTCTCCTTAATAGCATCCTTTGCTCCGTTCGTAGTATGGCCAGGAGCCCCGTTCGTAGCTTCCTTTGCTCCGTTCGTAGTATGGCCAGGAGCCCCGTTCGTAGCGTCCTTTGCTCCGAGCCCCGTTCGTAGCGTCCGATCGCTCCGTTCGTAGCGATGCCCGAAATGCTCCTAGTAGCGTCCTCCGTTGTGAATGCAACATGTCATGGATGAAAAATCCCAGATCCATCCATGCAACTGGCAGAGTTTACGTGTACCCCACGCGTACTCCGATCATGTATATATGATCAATAGGGATATAGATGATGATGTACACGAATTCCAGTCCCATGGATGGTCTGGGAAAAGGACGGGCTAGTTATGGTGTCTCAGTCCGGGATCGAGACGAATTGGATGAGGACGGCTGGCAGTCTGTCTGACGTCGAACGCAAACAAATCCCATCTGCAGAGATTAGGATGAGACTCTGCAGAGTCTGTTTTGATGTGATGAGACTTGAAGTCGAACACGTCCTGTAAGCATCTTCAAACCAAGATCTGGAGAGTCCACTCTGGCCCCCAAAGGCTCAACAGACAGCCTCGGCACACGTTTTTGTGCGATGGAGAACGTCTGCCTAAAAACATGACGAAAATGAGAATTGCGTTTTCAGGATCCACAACATTTTTTCAGTGAAACCTTGCCTCAAGCACCACAAAACCTCTGCTGGTTTATAGTACTATATGTAATATACGTTTTGTAAAGCAGTGATATGTTTGAGTGACATCTTCTCTCGCAGCCCCAAGCCCTCGACTTTCGCAGTCTCAAATCATCGAGAGAACCAAGGGGTTTTTGAGACTGAAAAAGACTCACCGTGAGCTCAAACCGGGCAAGCACCCCCAATGCTACGGCCTACCGGCCCAAGCGTTCATGCAAGTGACACCGTAGCCACCTCCCTGTCAGGGGCTTTTTGTGCCATCTACTCTCAATCCACTATATTCAATTTGAGGTTCCTATCCCCATGTCCAATATTGTCCCGTTTCCCAAAATGAATTGATATATCTCTTGATCATCCCACTCTAAAATGCTTGCCACCTGGAACTGGGCACTATATATGGCTGTGAGGACACCCCGGTTGACCACCGAAAATGAACAGAATAGACAACCTACAGGAGATATCAGGAGACCACGGGAGGTCAATCTACCGCAGTTTTCGTTCCGGGCAAAACGGGTGCCATGACTTGCAGCCATATTGCCATCTGAACAACACCGGAGCTGGCACATGTTCAAGTAACGCTTACAAATGGAAACGCCCTGCTCGCGTCCTGCTTTCGCGGCAGCGCCCTGGGCGCCCCCGGCATCTCTCCTCTAGTTCGAGCCTGGCCGGTTCGAAGCGTCAAAAACTGCGCTCCGTGGATCTCAAGGGAAGGTGAGAATCTCAGATCTTCTGGGTGGTTGAAATCAACCTGTTGTCTTTTGGGCTTCATATTGGTTATACATACAGTATATATATAGTTTAATGACTCGCGCATCTTCTGCTTGTTGGTGAACATCCATGCAACTGAATTCATTTGACATGTTTCCATGTTAGGCTTTCGTACCACGTGGATGGCATGGACCACTTGGAAGACTCCATGCGATGTGTTCGGCAGAGCGTGTTTGAAACACATGGAAAGCATGGTACTCTTGCCCTTCATAGGGTGTGTCCGCTTCCATGATTGTAGTAGGACGCCTTTGGCAGGCTATTGATCCTTTGGCAAACGTGTTTGTCATTGTTCTTCACACACCACATCTTGACTGATGCGGCCTCTAGATCAAAGCCCAAGGGCTGCCCGTCAAGCCAGTAGTCGACGTTTCATATCATGGTTTGGTATATGTGTAAATTGATGCAAATTGTGTACCGTATACTTTTGGGTAGACCCATTCCCCCAAACAGCCACAATTACTGGTAACACTGGTAAGATCATCATCATGTTTCAGAAACTGCACTCAAAACCCACATGTTTGTAACTGGAGATCCATCTTAGCGGTGTGCCCCTTTCAAGTTCTACGCTTCTGAGTCTGACAACTCACACAAACATTGACCCTTGTATAAACCATCAGAGAAGCTATATAGTATATATTATACACTTACAATTGTTTGGAAGTTTAATGAATTTTATATTAACGTCATTGACAAATCACTGTTGTCATGGAGCTGCGTGTCAGTCTCTCGGGGTGTACACGTGTTCCTTGCTTACAAGGTTGGGTAGTCTGATATTCACTTCAGTCTACTCCGTCTGCTCCAGTGGCGATGCTTTGCTTCATTCCTAGCTCCTCATGCCTGTGCAGCATATACTCTGGCCAAGGCCGAGTGTGACACTCCGAACACATCACATGGACGTGGAGATTTCACACCCCCTGTTTGTAGGAAGAGAATTCGGGCCCAATGGGGCCCATGCCATCCACGTATCCATGTGATGTGTTCGTCTGAGGTGTTGGCTCCTCTTTGAGCCGCTCCACCCAAGGCTTCAGTCTACTTGGGCGGGCCGGATGGGCCTCCACCGAGTCAGCTTGTCTTGATGATCTGTTGAAGGCATATTAACTAATATGTCACGAGATCACCCCTGGCTGTGTATCCCTCCCAGACGCTCCGTTCACAGCCCGACCGGTCCCTCAAAACCAGAGGGATTTGAGGGTCCAGAGTCCAGACCCTGCATATGAGGGTTTAGGAGCGTGTGGGTATACAATATATATAAATGTTCTGAAAGAAAAGAAACTCCGAACAAGAAGAAAACACCGTAGTCCACTGCAATGGCATCGCTGAGATCTGGTCATCCGTTCTCCCGTGTAGTCCACCCATCAGGCTTTGGAGTGCGTTTTCGGTGTCTTGCAGAAGTAGCCCACACCGGCCGAGTCGTGTGCCACTCTAAGGCACCCTTCTTCGTCTCACTTTCCTCACCAGCCAACACCAGGCAACTGCCGTGGTGCAGGATCGTCCGTCTGCCACCCGGTGGACCACGAACAGTGAGACCACCCAGTCGTGTGAATTCTTTCGAAAAGCAAAGGACAACGCTAGACTTCTTCAATCCTTAAGACAAACAATGATCTGGTTGGTGGTTTCAACTGAGTGCGTTCAATCATCCCAAGTATATAAGATATATCTTATATAGAGGTTGAACATGGTTGAACAATATCTGGAACCACCACCTGATGGTGGGAAAATTCAGAACCCTGAAATCCCTGCCTTGGGCCGGAGGCTGACGTCCGGCGGTCCGGTCCAAGCTCGCTCTGGGAGTCCAGGGCCTCGCCTTACAGTCCTCCTTGTGCATGTCTTCATCAGCTGGCCGTTTGGGACCGAGGCACGAGAGCCAGCGAAACGAGGCACAAAAGCGATGGGAGCGAGGGCGGTGTTTCTGAGAAAACCCGGAGACTGGTATGAGCCATGTACTTGGATTTGCTGTCCAGGAAGCGGCAACACATTTGAGCGTATTCCTCAGAAGGGGATGAACACCTACATGCAGGTTTAAATAAGAATCACCCGGAGCAGAACCAGGTGTAGCAGCTCCCAACGCTTTTCCGAGTGGCAAATGATTCTCTTTCCCTGTCTTTTCCAAACCCAATAGATCAGGTTAGACCATTTTCTGTCTAATAGTTAATTCCTTGCCTAAGACAAAAATCTTATCTATTTAATTTTCTTGTTATCTAATTTAGTTAACTTATAAGTTTTTGTTTACCTTTTTTTACGACAAAATGTACATTTTTGTTGTATCTTTTACTTTTTCCTGAGGAATGCATCAGTAATCCTACATCCAAGTAATCCTAAGTCCAACTGATTTCACTAATCCTACCCCTGTCACAACACATGTTGAGACACCACTTCTCAGAGGGCTGTTTTCACTGCTGCAGCTCAAAGTGCATGCCATATGACCAGTGATGCATCATTTTGTGCAAGCATCTTCAGGAGCAACCCCTTTCACACATGTGGATCCCAACAACTTCAAAATGCCCATGTTGGATTCGCCAGTAAAATTCCACAAGCCTGGGGTTGACCTGGTGGCTGTGAGCAGCCAAGTGAAGAATGTCATGGGTCTTCAAGGTGTAGTTAAACAGTTGGACATCTTCTTGGGCAAAGTGGTCATACAAAAGGCTCTGCAGATGACACATGCTAGAGCATGCGTCCAACAAAGTTTTGGCTGGGCCAACTGGCAATGCAGCATCTTGCTTGTACTCATCCAACAATTCTTCAACTTGACTGTTGAGCTTGAGAAGTGTCAAGATTTGACGGTGCACAGCAATTGTCTGGTTGCAATGGTTAAGCCACAAATGAAGCACAACTTTGTGCAGATGGTGGATCTCTGCTGCTTTGCCCCTCAATTTGGGGGGCCCACTTTTCCTCACAAACATTGTGAGTCTGTTGAAATAGTGGTACCTGTGAGTAATGCTCAAGGATTGGTACAGGGCCTTCATTTCTTCCCAAATAGAGAGGAGGTTTTGCAAAGGTGACTGGGGCCCCATCACAAAGCACAAGAGATGGAAAATGCTGGCGTAGATGTATTGATCATTGCCAAGATATTTGACATGCATCCAATCCAACATGACTGAGCAGCCTGTGACACCAATGGCTTGGAACAGTGGGTATGTGCTTTTGCCAGGCCATTCCAACTACTCTTGTGGCTCCCACTCCATCTCTGTGATGTGCTCTGGTGGGTAAAACTTTTTCCAACTCAAAGGGCCTGATCCCTTGCATTTGCAGACTGGGCACCCACCAGCTGCCAAGCTCCATCTGGGAAGACCCAGGGATGCTGCAAAGAAATCTAAATCCCCTTGGACTGAAACCAAGGCCAACCTGTAGCCTCCACAAATTGGCTTGCCTGCTCTCAGGAAGTCTTCACTGCCAGGGCTATACCTTGTGCAAATGTGGCTGAAACCAAAAACCAAAAACCTGACAGATGTTACGCCAAAACCAACATTGGCCAAGACAAAAAATGCCACCCCAAGTGCTTCTCACCAGTCCAGGTTCTATCTGGAAATACACCACTCAGCAGACAACCGAAGCTCCACTTCAAGATTTCAAAGAAATTATGCAAGGTAGAAGTGGCATCGTTGCCATGAACCAGCAGCTGCTCATAGACCTGAGAGGCCCAAAAGCCAGGAATGAACTTGATAGCTGTTCTTTTGACAAAAGTAATCCTATGACACAGAGTAATCCTGTGGGTAAGAGTAACATAAAGAAGTAATCCTCGTGAGAAGCACAAAGCTGGTGACAAATTGTAGGCCAGATGCTCCATAGATGAAAAAGGTCCTCTGCTTGGTGGAATCATGTGACAAGAGCCCTGCCCAACTGCAGCACTGCTGGAGCTTGGCCCAGACCTTGCCGCACCCAATTGTTGGCACGGGATGGTGGTAGACATCCAATGGTCCTGGTCCAACAGACAGTGGCCTTTCATGGATGGGTGATGCTGGAACTTCTCCCAAAAAGTTGCCAAGCCAGCTTTGCCTTGTGGCAAGAAACAGGATTGCCAATGGCTTTGGTACTGCACCCACAAGCTGTTACAAACCAAGTGTGGAAGCATGATGCTTTGCAAAGCTTGGCCCCTTTTGGTTTTCATTGACATCTGGACTTGCAGTGGCTTTGGTAAACAAGAGACATCAGCCACCAAAGCTAGCAAATCCCTGTGTGGCAATTGTTGGCATGGGTACCTTCACTGCACAGCATTGAAAGCTTCTGCAAATCAGCAGGAATGTCAGAAGCACCAGCAGCTACCATATCCCTTTTTGCAAGAAGTGCAACCCGTTGGACAGTTTGGGACGACAGCTGCCCCCAAGACCATTGCTTCTTCAACCAGTCAGCCAGCAAGGAAAGCTTTGGAGCTGTAGCAGCTTGGTGCTATTCAAAGCTTTCAGCCTTTGTTGGGTTCCTCCTTTTCTTTTGTCGCAAAGAGGTTCCATCTCCTCCATGGCTTGTTCAAGTTGGGTGTGGCTTACAGAAAGGGCACACCTGTATAGATTTATTGATGAAAGGCTGGCAGCTTTGGTCAATGATTTTAGCAACTTCAAAAAGCATGTTGTTGCTAGTGTTGGCTTGGTGTTTTGCATCACCACACAAACACCACAAACACAATTCTGTCTTTTCCCTTGTGCCAAAGCACACCAGCAGTAACCCATGCCTTCACAATAGTAACCCTATGCCCATCACAAGAATCCTGAAGCAACCAAAGCAACAGTAATCCTATTGCCATTGCAAGAACCCTAAAACAACCAAAGCAACAGTAATCCTATTGCCATATCACAAGAAGCCTAAAGCAGCCAGCACAACTTTTTTTGTTGCCACTGCCTGGTTTATAGAGCATTCTTCAGCTGCTCATGCCTTCTACAAACCTCGAGCTTTGCACACTGCTTTCAGTTCCTCAAGGCCTTCATTCACTTCTTCTGTTTTTGGAGCTAGGTCTGCAAAGAAGGATTCCACTTTTGTCTTGCTCCCACATCTGGCATTCATTCAAAGCACTGATGTTTTCAGAAAGCAAAGCCACCATAGCTTTGGCCTTTGAAATCAATTTCTCATCAGCTGCAGCCCTCACTTTGATCACCAATCTGCCGCAGTCTCGCTGCAACCTCTCATTGGCCCCCTTTGCATCCCCAACTGTCTTCTCCAACATTTTCCAAGAAAGCTTGACAACTTTTGGCTGTGAAGGGGGCACAGCCTGGTTAGAAGGAGGTGCCAAGCTCCCACCAGGTGCATACACAACACGTTTTTACCTTTCTTTAAGGCAGGCTGGGAATCTTCAACAGCTTCTTGGCCATACTTTGCCCAATCCCTTTTCCCAAAGAAGCTGGACATGCCAGCAAAGGCAGACACTTCCAAGGCCACAGAGCCACCTTGAAGATCCATCTGGTCTGCACTTGACTTGGACCTTCCAGTTGAAGTTTCTGCATGGTGGTACATGCCATCCTTTTCAAAGATTTGGCCAAGTGCTTCAGCACGGTTCATTGCAGCCTCATTGCCTTGAAACACTTGCCACAAAATCACCATGGATGGGACGCCAGTCTGTTGGGAAGCCCAAACTTTGTCAACATTTTTCTTCCAAGCTTGAAAAGAGGGGCTGTCACTGCGCAAGCAGTATTCCCCCTTGCTGTCCTGTTGAAAAAGCTTGTTGATGAGCTCTGTTCTAAACAGGCGAGGCTGCTTCTGCTGCATTGCTCCATCATTGTAAAGCTTCAAAATGTCTTCAGGGATTTGACCTGCCTTGAGCATTCTTTGGAATTTCCTAGCTTTTCCAAAATGCCTCTTTTCATTTGCTTTGTCCTTGGACTTGCTTTTCTCATCAGGTTCAATCTCTTCATCATTCTCAAAGCAACCTTCCTCCTCTTCTCCTTCTTCTTTCTCACCTTTGCTTTCAGCTTCAAAATCAAGCTTCTTCCAAGCATGTGTTCTTTCAGCCAGGGTCTTTGCTTTTGCCTTTGCTTTCGGTCCTGCTGCCAAGAAAAGATATGCCACAATTTTGAAAATACAATAATTCTGTTGTCTTTTGGGAAAAAGTAATCCTATGACAAAATGTAACCCTATGACAAGACAAGTAATCCTATGATTAAAAAACTCACCACAGTAATCGTAATGACAAACCCATGACAAACAGTAATCCTAGTGCAGCAAATAATTCTACCACAGAAAGCAATCTTGATGCAATTGTCCTGGGGCTGGTGTCTCATCTGTGTTGCCGCCTTTTTCCTTCTTCTTGTTCTTTGGTTTCTTTGCTGAAGCTTTGCCTTTTGGCTTTCCTTTTGCCATTCCTGAACCACTTGCCTTACCTTTGGCACCTCCTTTTGCTTTGGCTTTAGCTTTGGCTAAAGCTTTTGTTTTGTTTTCTTCTGTGGCTGCTGAATCTTCTGCGGTCTCTTTTCATCCTTCTTGTTTGCTTCTTCACTGCCACCACCTGGTGCAATGAGTGCCAGTTGGTCTTCACCTGTTGTCTCCTCCTGTGGTCCCTTTGCAGCTGGCCTCTTCATCCCTATGGCTAGGAGTTTGCAGTGGCGCTTGGAAAATGTAAAGCAGTGGCCACATATATGTAAATTTGTGCAGTTTTGTTTGCATATTTTATGTTCATATTTTCATAAAGTCATTGTAAGGAAATGGAAATGTAAAGTTTCATATGGCCAAGCTGGAGCCAAACAGTTGCAAACAATTCTAAACAGTGTTTGCCAAACAGTAATCCTAGCATGCTACGTTGACCAAGCCAGAGTAATCCTAAAGACTCCTTGGTTCCAAGCAAACAGTAATCCTAACAGGGTTATTTGGGCCCTACTTTATTGCCTACTGCAATACTTGAGCTTTTAGGGCTGTTA